TCATTTATTTAGACAAAACAATACCATATTTTAATATCAGCCATTTATTGCTTAACATGAAAATTATAGGCTTTTTTAAATAATGACTATCATTTACTGGATCTCTAATTATACATTTTCATTATTATTATTATAAATTTGTATCGATTTGTTGGCTGCTTGTTCTCTCTCTCTTCTCATGATTTCCAGTCTATGCTACTGTGTCTCTGTGAATAAACAAAAAGTGTTTAACAGTGTTGAAAGGGTGATCCTGAGAAAAGTTTACCAATATTTTGGTCGATGTTTATGTGTTAAATCAATCATTAATGATTTGGTGGATCCAGTAATGGTTTCGTTTCGGATGGATCAGTCTTTTATCCAGGGAGAGTCTCCTGGATGTCTTGTCAGGACTCGTTTTGCTCTAGCAGCCAAATTTGTCTGTTTCTGCTGTGTTTTTTTTTTCTGTGTTATGAGACATATGCATGTGGAAACTCATTCCTCTCCTCCATCCCTGAAGGAATGACACCCCTTTTGCTGGAACTCACTTTCCTAACACCGCTTCCCGCTCAGCCGTGAGAGGCTGTGGGTGTGCTTTATCTCTAGCAGTCAGCTTTTCCCATCACAGATATGCGACGCCCCTGCTGTGTTTCCCTTTAACCCATTGAGTCCACTTCAGAACATATGTGGATACAGTATACTCATACATACTCACACATATCGACTCGACCCTCCCTCCCGCCGGCAGCAGGACTCATGTTGTCCAAACCATGTTATGTACACAGAAACATTAGACTCGGGTATCTCGCGGCCTCCTCTCTCTCGTGCAGGGTTTTCTTACAAGAAGGAAACCACATACTGTTATTAGCCCTTTGAGAGCCATTCAAGATATGTTATGTCACGGGTGGGTCTCATATCTCAGCAGCTGTGGTGCGCTTGTTTCATCAACAACATCAAAACTTGCAGTGCAATAAACACGCTGGCCAACACCACTGGATATCTCAGGAGGTTTGTGAAGTGGGCTTTGGTGGTAACTGTATTAAGAATTCAATGAACAAACATCTGTTATGAATGAATCACTGTGTGAGGTTAGAGCAGAGCATTATGACTGTAGAAATGTGTCAGCTGGTATAGATTTTGCTATACTGATTTTTTGTCAGAAAGATTTTTTTTTTATTAAAGGGGTCATATGATGCAATTTCAAGTTTTCCTTTGTCTTTGGAGTGTTACAAGCTGTTCGTGAATAGATACGATTCCTAAAGTTGCAAAGACTAAAGTCTCAAACCCAAAGAGATATTTATTATCAAATTTAAGACTGGTCCACGCCCTCCTAAAACGCCTCGTTTAAACGCGCCCCCAACATGTCTACGTCACGATGTGGGAATGTTTGCATAACGCCGCCCAAATGTTCACGCAAAGAAAGAAGGCGTACCTTTATTGTTGCTGCCACCGCCGCCGCCACGTTTTGAAGACTCTGTGTGTTTCGTTGCAAAAGTTAAACTACTTTGTTTAGCCTTCCAAAAGAGGACACGGCTAGAAATCAGTGGTTAAGTTGTATTTTCAACACTGTTCCAGAAGCAGTTCAACCCAAATATTCAGATGTGTGCAGCACATTTTATGGAGGACTGTTTCCTGATCCTGGTAGAGTAGACTACAATGCTGTCTATTGCTGTTTTTAGCAACATCATATGACCCCTTTAAAACTTTTATTCAGAAAGGATGCTTTAAATTGATCAAAAGCAACATTTATAATTGTAGAAAATATTTTTATATATAAATTTATTAAGTAAATGCTGCTTTTTTTACTTTCTGTTCATCAGAGAATCTCTTCCACAAAATTTTAAGCAGAACAACTGTTTTCAACATTGATAATGAGAAATGTTCTTGAGCACCAAATCAGCTTATTAGAATGATTTCTGAAGACTGAATGGCTGCTGAAAATTCAGCTTTGCCATTAGAGGAGTAAATTACATTTAAAATATATTAAAATAGAAAACAGTTATTGTAAATTGTAAAAATATATCACAATATTACTGTTTTTATTGTTATTTTGATCAAATAAATGCTGCCTTGGTAAGCATAAGACATTTCTTTAAGAGACATTAAAAAAACTATACATATGGTGAAAACCTTGTGCAGGGTTTTAATAGTTTTTAATTTGTTTTTATTACTATTTAATAAAAACTGATTTTTTTAGTTAGTTTTTGTTTTATAATTTTGTTGTTGTTTTATTTATTTACTTTTTGTTTGTTTAATTTTTATTTTAGTTTTAGTTATTTTATGACTTCCAAAGTTATAATGGTATAATTTAAAAGTTTAAAACAAATTTAATTAACAAAATTAACATTTTCAAGCTAAATGTAGGCAGGTTGTAAAGATCCTATAATGTAACTGAAATTATGTTTTTATTTGATTTGATTTTAGTTTGGTATCAAGGAAATAGCTTAGTTTTAGTTTTTCACAGTGATGGTTTTTGTTCTTATTTCACGTAACAAAAAAAAAAAGACCTGAAAAAAAAGTCACTTGAGGATCAGAAATAGACATTACCACATTATTATGTAATTATGAAATATTTTGGGGCTGTGTTTCCAGTAAAAATATGTCATGAAATATGGTTATTGTTATTTATAAAATTCATCATACTATAAGATTTTGGTCATACTGCCCATTCCTAATTTAGATTCATATCAGTGAGAGATGCGCCCACATGTACCCTCCTCCATTTCTACAAATTCCATAAATGGGAGAGAGGAACAAATCCCCCTTCTGCCATTTTCTGACAGCTTGCTTACAATCTCAGGGATTTGAATTAGGAGAGATAAGGGAAAAACAATAGAGATGGAAAAACACATCATCCCATGTAATAAGGAGATCTCCAGCAAAAACATATTTACAAAGGAGGATTTTTTTTGAGACAGCAGGGTCTAATCCACTGCTGGGCCGCTGGGTTTTGGTCTCACTGAGCAGCTGCACACTGCAGTGGTCAGTAATGTGATCCGCTTTAGACCACAGCCATTTGTAATGAAGGATAATTAGAATTTCATTCTGCTGTAAATCCCTTCATTTTGTTTCTTCTGCATGCTGCATTGTAGACAGTTGGACGGTGAACACCGTTTAGGACCATGTGTTTGACATTGTTTCATTGTTGCGATCTCTCTCCAAATGTTAAACTTCTCTTTATCTAAACGAGTTGTATGTAATTCAGATTATTAATTTTAAGTAGAGTAGGTCAAGGATCCAGTTAAGGGCGCATTAAGAAATTGTTTGTGGTAAATTTGATCTGCTATTCGAGGTAGACAAAATGAACCTAGTTTCTTATGAAACTTCTGCCAGCCAAACAGGTTAATTGGAATTTCAGTCGGAACCTTAGTACATATTTTTGGACATTATGTTTTCTGACACATAACCCGTCCCATGTGGTACTCCTAAGATAGGTATCTATTGTCAAGTGTGCAATCAGTTTTAGATGTTGTGAAGGCCCAGTCTAACTTGTCATAGCAGGTCTGGGCAGCTGTTATTAACAAATGTTCTTCCGCAAGTCTGCGATTCTTTCGTTTTCCTGACTGATCCTACCTTTCAGTGACGCACGAACTAACAATGAAATGACAAGGAAGAAAAACATGATCCAGTTTCATTTAGACCTGAGGCAAAACAATGTAGATGAGGTTTGCAATTTTTTGTCATCTTTATTGTCAGCTCATGACTTCATGAGAATCAGAACATTCCATTTTAAAAAGTGCATTAAAATACAGATCGTAGACGCCAACCAAAAAAGATCAACCTCTTACAGATGTTGCACGTTTTATATAATGGATCGTGAAGCTCTGCATCTGTGGTTCATATCCTGACTGTTTGTCTGGTGTCAGAACAGAAGAGATAGAGCTGTATGCCCATCCTCTGAGTCCATAATCGGCTGATCGCAGCTTAAGAGCGTGTTAAAAACTCAGATTAGAAAACCCAGTGATCGAGGGGGTCTGTCCAAACATACCCTGTTTGTTTGAGTTGTTTTCTTTCTTTCTGCTGGATTAATGTAATGAGGTGATTAGATATGTTTACGTGTTTCAAGTGATCTGTTGTGTGAATGAAGCTCAGGAAAGGTGTTTTTTTCCCCTTCTTTTTCCCATATGAGAAAGAAGAAGAATATGAGAGGGGAAAGAGACACCACTGGCTTTATGCCATTAAACCCAAGGGCAGAAATGTAGTATTCTGTTATCCATCTCAAGGCTGGACATTACGTGTGTGATCTAGGAGGAATATAATACCAGACAGCAATATGAGAATAAGATCTGCTTGTGTCCCCTTTTTCTCTTTGACACATAATGAATTTTAGTTAGTGCAAATACATTTTAGGGCACTTTCACACTGAAACTGTTGTTGTTGGTTTGAGTCTATCTAATGTTAGTTCCCAAGTAATCAAAAGTGAGAGAAATGATCATTTCTTTCAAAGATTGTGTTTATTTTGTACTTCAAAACATTTTGAACCAGCCTCAATGTGCTGTCACAATTAGCTACTGTTGCTTGTTGAAAGTTCAAGGACAAAATCCAGTCATTTCAGTAGGAATCCATGCGATCAGGAGTCTTGCGTGAGGGCAAAAAAGTTCCCCATGCTGATTTCGCTCATGTTTAAGTTGGACGCACGAATTTGCTGTGCTGACTAACAGAGAGCTGATTGGTTTAAAAATGACTTCTGTATCTGCTGTGCTTTATACATTGCTATGTCGGTTATTGACGGTTTTTTTTTTTACATTTAGCTAATCTGACTTGAACACTGTCATCCATGTACGTTTCTGTTGAAATCCAAGATTTGTATTAAATAACTTTGATTCTGTTTCAAATTCATGAGGATTTCATTACGCTTCTTTTGTCATTATTAAATAACTCATTTTCAGAGTTGTATTGAAGGACACTATAACAGTAACAGGCCCTAAAGGAAATTTGAACTAGTTAGCTCTTTTTTTTTCTTCTTTTTTTTGAAGTTGAACTTGCTTTTTTTATGCTAACGTCTACTCTTTCTGCTCCTGTAGGTTGTCCCAGACCCTCAGTTGTGCCTCATGGCCGTGGGAACCTGACGGAAACAAACCGCGGCTCCTTCCCCGTTGGCACGCAGCTACAGTACAGCTGTGATCCAGGATACACGCTGGATGGCTACAGCATCATCACATGTACCGTCTCCGGCCACTGGTCCTCTGACCCACCTCGCTGCATCAAAAATGATGGTACGTTCAAATTAACCCTCTCTGTGTCCTCTGTTCCTGTTTTCTCAGGAGTTGTATTTTGTTCTAAGAAGGTTGGATGTGATTGCTATTCACGTCATGTCAGAATAACTGGTTATGAGTTTCTGATTAGAAAAACAGTTCTTTGTCAGACTTGTAACTTTTTCCCCAACAGTTTGTCAACCACCGAGTGAGCCAGAGAACGGAGGATATAACTGCCACCCCTCGCCGTGCCACAGACTGGCCCAGGGTACCGTGATCGAGTTCTTCTGTGATGAGGGTTACATTCTGAAAGGAGGGTACCATTTCCAGACCTGTGACAACGGAGAGTGGAAGTCGCCCATGCAGATCAGTTGTCACTCTGTGCAAGGTACGTCTCACAGCAGCAGGAGCTTGATCCACAAGCTCGGCCATCTGGATATTCTGCCGTTTTGTCACATATGGACAGTTTTCCTCCTCCTTAAATTACAGCAATGTAGCCAAATGTACAAGCTGTTCAAGTGAGTTCAGTACAGCATCAGAAGTTTCCCAGAAAGCAGCTTTTGAAACATCAACCATCATTTTTTGTTAGACAATCATATTTCAGTGTTTTGGATACTCGGTCACTGGATGCGAGTTAAAAGTTTAGGGAGATTTGAAAATTGATGGTGATGTGTGTATCTTTTCTTCACAAAACTTGAGTACTCGTTATCATTTAAATCTGATTGTTTGGTTTCATTTTCATCAGTTTTATTGAAGTTATTTCTCTTCCAGGGGAGGAGCAATCCCCACTGCCCATGTCAGCTCTGTCTATCGTGGCCTCCACTGCCAGCACTGTGGCCTTCATCCTGCTGTTGGTGGTGCTGTTTGTTTTGCTTCAGCCCAAACTCAAGTCCTTCCACCACAGCCGGTGAGGCTCTGTCTCATTCTTACTAAGCATAGCTTTTTCACAGGCGTTTGTTTTATTCTCAGACAGTGGGAGTTTACATAGCACTTAAAGGAAGTCTGTTATATTCACCAACATTGCATTTATTTGATCAAAATGCAGTAAAAACAGTAATATTGTGAATTACTGTGATTTGCTGCTCATGAAACATTTCTTATTATTATAAATGTTGAAAATGGTTGAGGTAATTAATATTTTTTTGGAAACCATGATACATTTTTTCAGAATTCTTTTTTAAAGAACATCCATTATTTGAAATAAAAATCTTTTGTAAAATTTATAAATGTCACATTTGATCAATTTAATGCATCCTTTCCAAATAAAAGTGTTCATTTCTTACAAACTTTTAAACGGTAATGTATATAAGAAATATTACTATATTCTACTAAAACTGACAGCCTGAAAGTGTCCACATTTTTGAACTGATTAAACAATATATATTTGTGTTTTTAAACATTGTGCTTGAACATGGCACTCAGTTTGATATTTTATTATGCAATACAAAGACATTGTAAATACATTTTGAAATGTAACTTAAGTGTCCAAATACTTTTTGGTGCCACAGCATGCATATGAGAACATAAATGTAATGTACTAATGTTTGTAGCGTGCAGATTTAAAGTCAATCATAATTCAAACTGTTTGACATGCACAAATATGGCATCTCCTCTACGGTGCTGTTATTCCAATCATTTGCTGTTGCGTAATCAGCTCACTGTGATGTTAGCTGCAGATCAGGCAGGTCAAGATTTGATACCGTTTAAGCCTTATTTTTTTATTCCCATATCTCTCCTTCTCTCTTTCAAAGCAGCCGGGAGCAGGGTATGTCAGGACAGCCTACCTCCATCATGGTGGAGGGCGTTCAGGTCTCACTGCCCTCCTACGAAGAGGCAGTGTATGGCGCAGGCGGCAGTTCTGTGCCCCCTCCTGAGTCCCGGGTTCAGATTGTGCTGTCGGAGGGCCCTCAGGCCGAGGGTTTGAACGAACCTCTCGAACAGGCTCAGGCGAGTTACAGTTTTCCCTCCACCTCCACTGCTGTGTCTTCATGTCATGCAGAGACTGTATTGGTTCACCAAGTGCCCTCTTCCTCCTCTCCGTCCTCCTCATCCTCTCCCTCCTGGGCTGCTGAGCAGCCTGGTGCCGCTGCACCTTTCCACCGCAGGCAGAGCAGCGAGAGCAACGATCAGCACAGCTTGCTTTCAGTCACCTTTGCCGAAGATTATGGTGATGGTGAGTCACTTGCAAATCTAGAAGTAATGTGTGGTTTAATGACATGTAACATTAAGTGTCCATGATAAATAAAGGAATCTTTTTAAAGAAAATAATTTAGAAACTTGTGGTAAATGTATGTATATATATATATATATATATATATATATATATATATATATTAGGGCTGTCATCGTTAACGCATGCGATTAATAATTTAAAATAATTTGACGCAATTAACGCAAAATTACTGAAGCACAATTTCTATTCTAACCCTTTAACCAATTTTGCTATTCTGCTTGCGATTAGATAATTTTAAGCTGCTAAACTCCGGGAAAGTTTTCAGTCCAATGATCCAGTAAGCGAATGCATTCAAACAATCCGTCCAAAACAGCGCTAATATAAAGGAAACCCGGCTGATTACATCAGAGATTGCAGAGAGAACAGAGACTCGCGTTGCGTTTTCAGTGAATTATTCATTCAGTGTGTTTCGCTTTTAAACACGAGCTCTGTCATATTCTGTGATTGTCTCTGAAGAGCGCGAGCCCTCACATGTCACGCGCTTGTGTGAAGTACAGACTGAACGGATTGTCAACACATCCCACCGCTGTATGGCCGGATGAGACGCAAACTACTGTTTCTCGACTGGATAACCAGTGTATCGCTAGTGTTTATGTTGCTGTGTTTAGTTATACTGAATGGATCCGTGTACTGAAGTAGATATATGCAGTCAGCAGGCGATGTTGGTGTTGCACTGTACACATACTATTAAAAAAAATTATTTCATATGTGCTTATATGGGCTCCTTATATCATTTGGTTCTTTGGTGTCCTTTTGGAGCTTCTAAGTGTCCTTTTTTGGAAAGTCATCTAAATTTATCTTGAAAAAAGCTTGCAGAAAATACAGATTTTTGAGAATCACCCTTCAATCTTTTGGTTTACTTTGCTGGATATAGCAAATGATGACAAAATAAGCATTTGAAACAAGATAAATGGTCTATGCTTAATTTCATGAAGTGTGCGATTAATCACAGAAAAAGGATGTGATTAATCAATTAAAATTTGTAATCGATTGACAGCCCTAATATATATATATATATATATATATATATAAATTATATATCTTAGGGTTATATTTAGTTTATTAATTAAATGTATTTCTATTTATATTATAATATTTGTACTTCTTTAAACTTTTTTTAAACGGATTATTAATTAGTATATTAATTGGTGATCCATAAATATTATTAAGATTATGTCTTGGGGCTGTCACACCACATGATATTTTACAAACTGAACTAACTTGATTATGTCAAAATTATTTGACTTATTTATGATGTAATTTTTTTATGAAACATTTTTCAAACAAGCTCAAGTCTCTGATTAGGTTTAAAACACAATATAACTGCAAAATGCATATTATTTCAAATTGAATAAATAATAATAATTATCATTCATTGTATTATTAATTTTTTTAATGTGTTTCTCTCTCTCTCTATATATATATATATATATATATATATATGTGTGTGTGTGTGTATATATATATTTAAACAAATATATTCATAACATTTATGAGTTACTAATTAGATATTTGAGAAAAATAAAGATTTATTATATGTTATTATAACAAAATATTTTGGGCCACAACATGTACCTGGCTGTGTCATGAAAAGGTTAAAATATATATTTTTTTTTTCTTCTTCATTATTTTATCAGGACAGTTGTATCACCTGACATTTTTGACTTTGTGGCTTTAATATGTTTCTCTCTCTCTATATATATATATATATATATATATATATATATGTGTGTGTGTGTGTATATATATATTTAAACAAATATATTCATAACATTTATGAGTTACTAATTAGATATTTGAGAAAAATAAAGATTTATTATATGTTATTATAACAAAATATTTTGGGCCACAACATGTACCTGGCTGTGTCATGAAAAGGTTAAAATATATATTTTTTTTTTCTTCTTCATTATTTTATCAGGACAGTTGTATCACCTGACATTTTTGACTTTGTGGCCCCCCAAAACTATCAAAATGAATTGTAATTTATATTTAAAAAAATGTAAAACATTAATTACAGGAGATGTGCATTCAAGTCATTGTATGTGTGAATTTCATTTTTAATTAAGAAAAAAAACAATAGCTACACACAGTACACACCGTTGGTGCATTTGTCAAATTTTATTTTTTATTTTTCTGTGATGTATTACAATTCTTGCATCACTTTAACTTCTGTGCCTAGCATCATACTTTCTTCATCTCTTTTCTCCAGATATTCCATTGCTAAAGGAAGCCTGAGTCTGTGTGCAGTCACCCCTCTCTCTGTCATCGCTGGCCAGGACCGTAACCCCTAAAGCTTCTCACCAAATGCTTACCCCAAGCCACCCGACAGAACGCAGCAGTAAATAAAATCTTTCAGCTGTCCCTCTGCCAACAAATCACCCGCCCCTGGGGTCTACAAGCTGCGTGGCCCCCATGGAGTCTGGCAGCTTTTTCACAGGAAGAACCTTTGACTGGATGACCCCTCAAAGGGATGCGCAAATGCTTACCTCGTCACGGCGAGGGTTCACGATTTACAAAGGAATGCATTCAGATTACGTTGTGGTCCTCTGCTCCGTCAATGACTGTGACCTCTTGTGAAGGGGAGAGTTCAGCAAGGATTTGCTAAGCCAGGCCCTTTTCTCTTTAATGCTGCATGTTCTGTGCAATTTCTTTTTCTGTTTCGTTCTACACGCATACACACAGGAGCACAGCACAATCAAAGCATGACGCATAGCCTTGTCCCTTGTGCGAGACACAGGGTTGAACCGATTTACATTGTACTGAATTCAAATACATGCTTGTCTTTTTATTTGTCAAGAAGTACATGTGCTGTGCTGTGCACTGTGTGTGTGTGTGTGTGTGTGTGTGTGTGTGTGTGTGTGATGCCTGTGTGACATGTGGCTGTTGTGATTCAAAGAGGGCTGAAGTATCATCTAGGCTTCTTTTCCCCAAAATAGGAAACATTTTCAATACCTCCATTTTCTAATTGAGATGTTATTTAAGTAGAATGGATGTTCCTTGTCTACATGTCTGTTTGTCCAAAGTGAGGGAGATATACTTTGTGTTAGCAGCTGTGAGATTACTGTTCTCATTCAGAGAAATGATTCATGATGACTTCCTTTAAAAGCGAGTATATCTCTCTCATGTTTGTGTTGCACGCACAAGTAAAAAAAAAAATATATATATATATATTTTAATTTGGGGGGGGGGGGGGTGGACTAATTTCATTACTGGGCTATACCTTATGAGCTTTGACTCTGACTAATAATTTTTGGATTTGAGCTAGTTTAATTCACTTTTAATTAAGGAAATTAAACCGCATATATTGCATTTGAATGTTTTGCAAAGCCAGCTGCGGCATGGCTAACATTTTGAAGATGACTATCAAGCATAGGAGATCCTTTTGTTTAGGTTTCTTAATAAATCATTTCAGCCATGTGCCATTAAATTGGTATTTGTAAGGAGAATGAATCAGATACCCTGTAAGATCTCAAATAGGTTGTGCATTGTATTAATGCACTGTATAATAGCTCCAGAAAATGGCCTTGTTCTTCACTCATAATGTTCTTTTGGCAAATGGACATTTAAAAAACCAATGAATCGTTTGTTTGAGTTTGCATTTTACATCCTTGCCTATTGCCACCTTGTGTATATCCCCTGTAGTTGACTAATAATTCTGTTTGTCAACATGCATCAAATAGGCCTATGTATATTTTTGTGCCTGACTTTGGAGAGAGAGGGCAGTTTGCCTATCTGCACATCCTCAGTTTTGTGTTCCTGGCTTGTTTTTGTAAAATGATTTACTTTTTTTTTTTTCATGCAAACTGATGGCAAAATATTACTGCTGCCTTAAAACTTGTACATTTCATCCATTTCTCACTTTGTAATCAAGTGTTTCTTTCATCTCACTGGCTTTATGGTAATTTGTCTTCAGTATCCTTATGGCCTTACTTTTTCTTTTCTATGCATAAACATTGTCTTGTAGATTTTCAGACATAGGGTTTTACTCTGGAGGATGTGACATAAGATTATCCACCCGTACTTCCTCAGATAATTTTTGTGAACGTGAAACATGAACTTTTGAGGGGTTTTTTGTTTGTTAGGTTTCATTCAAAGGATGTTTTTACGTTTAAAAAAGAAAGGACGCAAATAAAAAAGGATATCTAGGATGTGTGTGAAACACTGTTGTACGGTGTTTTTCTGCAAGTGTAATTTAAGTTGACTCATCCATCCAGCTCCCCATCCCCATTACACTTCTTTTGGTTTTCCTCTGTACATTGCTGTGGGTGTGAAGATAGTATTTTAATATTTGTATAAAGTTTAATTTAATTCTGCATTGTGTATATAACTATTTCTAATTAAAGCTTTCATTTGAAGTGCTCAAGTGGTGTGTTTACTTTGGTGAGTTTGATGCTTGTCATGTTGTGGTTTACTCTGTAACTGCTTTTATAGTTGTATAATAATCCATACTGTCATATGACATGATAGATTCCATTGTAATGAGGGTAAAGTGCAGATTTCATTAGTAAGTTATTAATGTGCGTTATCGCCATCTAGTGTTCGAGCCCTGTACTACTACTGTATAGTTGTAAAGGAAGTCCGGCTCATTTCCGCGTTTCGGTTGTTTTGAACAGTTCTTTCAAAGAAACGATTCAAAAGAACGATGCAGCTATTTACCTCATTATGTTGCAGCCATAATGCATCACATTTAGAATTTAAATAATAGTAAACTATCATGACCAGTCCAGTACGGTTTTTTGGTGAATCGGACCAAAAGAATGTGACGGCTCCGAGAGATTTAGTTCGCGATTATTCACGAATCATTCAGACTCAATTTATGAACCGGTTCAATTGATTCAGTACAATTCGTTGCAGTGCATACACGCCGTTTAATCTAAACAAAGTATTTTATGGTCGGAATAAATGTGGAAAATCAGATTAAAGTTACCACAGACACTACAAATTGTGTTTCGTCTCCCTTAAGAAAATAATTTTACCATACAGCCTTATGTTTGACATATTTTCCACCATTTTCTCAATACGTAGATAGCTACATAATGGTTCAAATTATTGAGTAATCACAGTAGAATTCATAGCGTATCTGTCAGTAGTGCAGCGGTTGTGGTGTTCTGAACTGATCTCAGATCAGCGCCGAAGCCGAGCCTCGTTCGCAGCTCTTCAGACTCCATTTTGTGTGAGGGGACTGTTCGGACAGGCACGACACATTCAGAGGACAAACATCAAGTAGAGGTATGTACCCGAGACAGTATGTACTTGAGACATCTTCACACTTGCCTGAATTCTTCTTATAAGGAGTGTGTTGTTTAAACGACTGTGTTTTGTAGAGCGATTCAGCAGTTAATGATCTCTCTCTGGATGTGGGTTGTGGCCTCGAGCCTTTATTGTTGCAGAGATTCGTAACGTTAGGTGTTTGACAATTGCAGAATGACAGTATTATTATATCATGGTTGTTTTAACTTGTTTTGGCTTGTTTTGAGGAGGATGAGCGGTTGTCGTATTTTCATCGGTCGATTAAACCCCTCTGCTCGGGAAAAGGACGTCGAGCGGTTCTTCAAGGGTTATGGAAGAATCAGGGACATTGACCTGAAAAGAGGCTTCGGATTTGTAGTACGTTTTGCCTTTTTACAATTTAACAATATTGTAACAACATGTTCTTTGCATGTCAGTAGTTAACTTCAATTGACTATATTAATAATAACACAACAAGGGCCGCGTTTTATAGCCCAGTGAGCTGCCGACATAGCGTTATTTGACCGCATTCACCAATGGTGGTAAGACGGCTCTCATTTTGCCTATATTTCTATAAATGTGTGTGTGTGTACACGCACACAATTCAATTATATATTACACTATATATTTTCCAACCACCGTTTGGGGGGAAGTCACTTCTAAGGATCACTAGAAGTTCGCATTTGCACACAGTAAAAACATGAATATTGATATTTTTACTATTTTAAATAATTTTCTGTTTTCATATACTTCAAACCATAATTGAATCCTTTGATGGAATAGAATTTTCAGCAGACATCATTACTCCAGTTTTATTCAGTGTCACATGATCCTTCAGAAATCATTGTAATGTAAATATTTGGTACTTAAAGGGATAGTTCACCCAAAAATGAAAATTCTGTCATTAATTACTCACCCTCATGTTGTTCCAAACTCGTAAGACCTTCGTTCATCTTCGGAACACAAATTAAGATATTTTTGATGAAATCCGAGAGCTTTCTGACCCTGCATAGACAGCAATGCAACTGAAATATTCAAGGCCCAGAAAGTTAGTAAGGACATTGTTAAAATAGTCCATGTGACATCAGTGGTTCAACTGTAATTTTATGAAGCTATGAGAATACATTTTTTGTGTGCAAAGAAAACAAATATAATGACTTTATTCAACGATTTCTTCTCTTCCAGATCAGTCTCCCCCACCATTCACAAGAATAGCATGACACATTAGGAGTACCACACGCATAGGTTGTGGTATTCTCGTGAATGGCGGCAGAGACTGATCTGGAAGAGAAGAAATCCTTTTTGTTCAAATTTCTTAATTGCTCAGTTTAGTATTAAATAAGTAATATTAATTGAAAAAATAATTAGGACCATGTGACATCAGTGGTTCAACTGTAATTTTATGAAGCTATGAGAATACATTTTTTGTGTGCAAAGAAAACAAATATAATGACTTTATTCAACGATTTCTTCTCTTCCAGATCAGTCTCCCCCACCATTTACAAGAATAGCATGACACATTAGGAGTACCACACGCATAGGTTGTGGTATTCTCGTGAATGGCGGCAGAGACTGATCTGGAAGAGAAGAAATCCTTTTTGTTCAAATTTCTTAATTGCTCAGTTTAGTATTAAATAAGTAATATTAATTGAAAAAATAATTAGGGAAAATAAACTAAAGATCAAGAATGGCAACACGTCATTAAACCTCTGCAGTATATAATATTCACATGTAAATCTTGAGTTCTTTCTTGCAGGAATTTGATGATCCGAGAGATGCAGAAGATGCTGTTTATGAGCTTGATGGGAAAGAGCTCTGCAATGAGAGGTATGATCAGTGTTTATTTGTATATTGCTTTTCTCAGTACATATTGTTTCAAAACAGCCTTCATTTCCTCAGTGAGCAGGCTAAAAGCAACAGGGATAAGGAAAATCTATCTAAGATTGATTAGGTAGAGAAAAAGAAGCCTTGGAGGGAACGGAGACTTAGCCGAGGCAGACACATGTCTAAGGGATGTTTTGATTTTAGGGTGACCATTGAACATGCCCGTGTGCGTCTGCGTGGAGGCCGAGGCCGTGGTGGTGGTGGTGGAGGAGGAGGAGGAGGAGGAGGAGGAGGGGGTCGTTTTCGTCGTCGGTGTAGTCGCGC